GCTTACTAGAGCTAATCAGCATTTAGCAAGCTAAAGAGGAATAAATAGCCTAAGAGAGAGAACAAAAAGCTTTTAAAAGGTATAATGGACAACTTAATTTATAATAACAAAAGCAAATCCCTAGACACAATAATGCAAAATTTACCAGACATAAAGAAAACTATAAAACATCCTTCACTGTGAAGTATACTTGGAATAAATAGGAAGACTATTAGGTTTCTTTCTAGAGATCCAGAAGGTGATTATTAGGTTCCACTGGAAAGACCACACAACAAATAACTTTGAAAATAGAAACGAAGTTATAAAGCCTCTATAAATAGCACAGTGTGGGACTGGCATATGAAGAGACAGAACAGTGGAAAACAATTTATAAAAATCCAGAAATTGATCCAAGTGCACTTGGAAATACAGTGAATGATGAAAACAGAATTTTAAATCAATGACAAAGACAATTTAAACAAGTGGTAGATATTCTGACAACTAAATAGCCATATAGAAAAGGATAAAACTGGCTTCATCTAAATTAATTCCAAATGAACCAGAGATATAAACATTAAAAAATGTAACTTTACAAGTCCCAGAAGAAAATGTAGGTACATTCCTTGATAACCTGGAAATAGGGATACTTCCTAATCTGGAATCAAAATCCAGAAGTAAAAAGTAAAAAGTTGATGAAGTAGTAATATTCCACATATATAAAAATAAACATTTAAGGAAGAATTAATACTAATTCTCAAACTCATTTTACAAGGTCAGCATTACCCAGATAACAAAACCAGACAAAGACACAAGAAAATTACAGACCAATATCCCTGATGAACACAGAAGAAAAATCCTCAAAATATTAGCAAACAAAATTCAATGCATTAAAAATATCAACGCCATGATCAAGTGGGATTAATTCCAGGGAAGCAAAGATGATTCTCGTAAATCCACGATACACAACATTAACAAAATGAAGGATAAAAATCATATGATTATCTCAATAGATGAGTACAAAAAGCATTTGACAAAACTCAATATCTACTTATGATTAAAACTCTCAAAGTGGATATGAGAGGGAACGTACCTCATCATAATAAAGGCCATATATGACAAGCCCACAGCTAACATAATACTCAATGGTGAAAGCTGAAAGCTTTTCATCCAAGATGAGGAACATGACCAAGGATGCCTACTCTTGCCACTTTTATTCAACGCAGTATTGGAAGTTCTATCCAGAGCAATTAGACAACAAATAAAAGGCATCCAAATTGGAAAGGAAGGAGTAAAAATGTCATTATTTGCAGATAACATGATACTATATAGAGAGATACTATATATTACTATATATAGAGATACTATATATAAGATTCCACCAGAAAACTATTAGAACAGATTCAGTAAAGTAACAGAATACAAAATTAACATTCAGAAATCAGTTTTCTATATTTTCTATACACCCATAACAAACTGTAAGAAAAAGAAATTAAGAAAACAATCCCATTTACAACTGCATCAAGGAGAAAGAAATACCTAGGAATAAAATTAACCACGAGGTAAAAGACCTGTATTTGGAAAACTGTGAGACATTCAGGGAAGAAATTGAGGAAGACACAAATAAATGGCAAGATAGTCTGTGCTCGTGGAAAAAAATTAATATTGTTGAAATGTTCATATGACCCAAAGCGAAATACAGATTCATTGCAGTCCCCATCAAAATTCCAATGGCATTTCCCACAGAAATAGAACAATTCTAAAATTTGTATGGAACTATTCAAGACCCCGAATAGCCAAGGTAATTTTGAGAAAGAACGCAGCTGGAGGTGTTATGATTCCTGATCTCAAACTTTATTACAAAGCTATAGTAATTAAAACAGTAGGGTATTGGCATAAAAACAGACACATCGACTAATGGAACAGACTAGAAAGCCCAGAAATAAAATCACACATATAAAATCAATTAATTTACAACAAAAGAAGTAGGAATATACAATGGGGAAAGGACAGTCTCTTCAATAAATGGTGTTGGGAAAACTAGACAACAACATGCAAAAGAATAAAACTGGACCACTTTCTTACACTATACACAAAAATCAACTCTAATTGGATTAAAGACCTGATTATAAGACCTGAAACCATAAAACTCATACAAGAAAACATAGGTGGTAAGCTTCTTGACATCAGTCTTGGTGATGACTTTTTAAAGACAACAAAACAAAAATAAACAAGTGGGATAACATTAAACTAAAAAGCTGCTACACAGCAAAGGAAACCAATAACAAAATGAAAAGGCAACCTACCGAATAGAGAAAATATTTGCAAATAATATATACATACTTGATAAAGGTTGATATTCAAAATATATAAAGAACTCATAGCAAAAACAAAAACCAAAAAAACAAAACCAAAAAACCCCACAAAACAACATGCCTCACCCCCCAAAAAATCTGATTGGGCAGACGATCTTAATAGACATTTTTCCAAAGACATGCAGATAGTCAACAGGTACATGAAAAGATGCTCAACATCACTAATCATCAGGGAAATGCAAATCAAAACCACAACGAGTTACCACTTCACACCTGTCAGAAATGGCTATCAAAGAAGTGTTGGCGAGGCTGTGGAGGAAAGGGAACCCTCATGCACTGTTGGTGGAAATGTAAATTGGTGCAGCTGCTATGGAAAACTGTATGGAGGTTCCTCAAAAAATTAAAAATAGAGTTGTCATACGATCCAGCAATTCTACTACTGGGTATTTATCTGAAGGAAGCAAAATAACTGACTCGAAAAGATACCTGCACCCCCACATTTATTGCAACATTCTTTACAATAGCCAAGGCATATAAACAACATAAGTGTCTATCAATGGATGGATGGATGAAGAAAGTGTGTGTGTGTGTGTGTGTGTGTGTGTGTGTGTGTGTAAAAAGGAAATCCTGACATTTGTAATATCATGGATGGACCTTGAAGACATTGTGCTAAGTAAAATAAGTCAAAGAAAGACAAATGCCATCTGATCTCATGTGCAATGTAAATCAAAACACTGAACTCAAGAGATCTAGAGAACAGAATGATGGTTGACCAAAGTGGTGGTGGAGCAGTGGGTGAAATTGGTGAAGATAGTCAAAAGGTACAAAATTCCAGGTATAAAATCAGTATGTCCAGGGGACGTAATGTGCAGCATGCTGACTATAGTTAATAATACTGTATTCTTTATCAGAAAGTTCCAGAAAGTTCCTAAGAAAGGTCTTAAAATTTTTCTCATCACAAAAAAGAAGGGAAAAATTTGTAATTATGTGGGGAGATGGACTGACCTGTTGCGATCATTTAGCAATATACCGGGAATGCCAAAAAAATGTATATAAGTGGACACTTTGGTCAACGTTGCTCAAGCAGTAGTTCACTGTAATCAGAAGTGTCTGGACACCAATGGTAACCACTTTGAGCACCTCTTGTAATTACAGAAGTCAGACTTTCATCTTTTGTTATTGGTATACATTATTACAATTTTAAATACAGTTTTCCTTTCTTAAAATGTATATACATTTTTCTGGCACCCTCTGTGTATGTATCAAATAATTATGTTGTGCACCTGAAACTTAATGTCAATTATATCTCAATTTAAAAAAGAATCTTCCTAAATTAAGCTTGGTGAGGTTTTGGGGAAAAGGAATTCTCATTAACATTGTTAGTAGGAATAAAAAAAATGGTAGAATTCCTATGGGAGTATTGGCATATGTAGCAAAATTATATACGTTTACCCTTTGTTGGAGCAGTTCTACTTCTGGAATCTCTTCCATTGTAGCACTATTTGTAGAAGTCAAAGATTGGAAACAACCCATAAGTCCATCAATACATCCATATAGTGGAGTACTATGGGGCTAACAAGGTGTAGTTAAGTAAAAAACAAATCACCCGAGTATGAACTAGTACACAGCATGCTAGCTTTTATGTAAGAATGCATATGTACTATGTGTGTACACACACATATGCTTATATTTTCAGCAAGGATAAATATACATGGTTATAATGGAAGGGAGGGAACATGGGTTGAACAGAAATAGAATAGACTCCTCTGAATGTACCTGGTTTTATAGTTTCTACTTTGAAACCACTTAAAAGTTTTACAAAGTTAAAAGAAATCATGAATACTAAACCAATCTCTAAAAATTGGGAGGATAAAAAGGGAGGCAGACGGACCAAATTGTATGTCAAGTTGGTAACATAATCAAACAAGAAATTTTTTCAAGTGATTTCCAAACACAGTATTGCAATTAGACATCCCTAGTGGTCTCTTATGTTAGTAATATATTGGCATTGCTAGTTTGAAAGAGCTGTATACACTGTAGATCAAAGCTAATAGGTTGATGTATACATGTGATTAGGAACTAAGATTTTCAGTTTAAGAGCTACCAGTATAAAAAGGTGTAGTGAAGCAAAAACTCCAATCTTTATTGTCTAAAGGCAAAGAATTTTGTAAGAACATGGTATACATTGTATTAAAAATTTTAGCCCGTGGTTCTTTTTTGGTTTTTTTCTGCATTATAAATCCCTTGACTGTCAGATCCTTAGTAGGATGAGTTCTGTAATCTCTCGGCATCGGTTCTCCTGACTTTTCAATGTGTTGGAAAGTTTTGCTGTGTTATTCTTAAGGCATTTGCCTCTCATCTTTAGCCACATTAATTTACACACATAGCAAACAGCTCTACTGTAGCTTCAGTACCACTCTACCTGGCTCTTTTCATCTTAATTTTTGACAGGGTTCTTTTTCAGTTGTTGTGTTCACAAAGTAGTAAAATATTGACACAGTTCAAGGGAACTTGTGCTTTCTTAATGTATCTTAAATAGAATTTAGGGTATTGTGGCAGAAATATCTGGGGAGTAGTGGCAGAACACAAGAATACCATTTAAATCACAATAAAGGCCTTGGCAATGGAGTTTTTATACCCAACTCATTTTAATCCTAACGTCCCTTTCCTTCACTGGAACTAATTTGTGTGTGTTTTGGTTTTTTTTAGATGGATATTCATATGAAAAGGAAGCCATGGAAAACTGGATAAGCAAAAAGAAACGTACAAGTCCCATGACAAATCTTGTTCTTTCTTCAGTGGTACTTACACCAAATAGAACTCTGAAAATGGCCATCAATCGATGGCTAGAGACACATCAAAAATAAAATTGTTTAGGGCCAGCTGAGTGGCGCGTTGGTTAAGAGCTGGCTTGGGACGCCAGCTCTGAGCAGCCCCAGTTCTGAGGGCCCCGGTTCGGATCCCACATATGAGGGCCAGTGACACTGCCTTCTACAGCTAAGATGCTGAACAACAGCTCGACCTGGAGCTGGGCTACCGTGAGTTGCCAGCGACAGTGTAGGCTGCAGTGGGCTGCCATAAAGCTACCGTGAGTGGCTGACAGCCAGCATGAGCTGCCAAGAGCCGCCGTGAGCAGCTATCCAATGGCCGGCAACCAATCTGCCTCACCTGGGAAGAGCGCAATGATAATACCAACATGGGCCAGTGAAGTGACGTCCTCCACAACTAGACTGAAGAACAAAAGGACAGCAACTTGTCTGTTCTCCTTCCCCGATTCCCCAGTAAAATCTTTAAAAAAAAATGAAAAATTAAATTGTTTATTATATTACATTATTTATATTTTTTCAGTGATCTCATTTGAATGATTTAAAGGTAAATAGTAATCAGACATTATTAAAAGCAAAACAGAAAGAGAAAGGTAAACTTCTTAGTTACCTATAAAAACTATTTACTGTCTATTTTCATTCTTTAAATTACATGGACTAAATAACACATTGAACTTCTTTTCTATTTTTATTCTAAAAGCCTTTTTGTACTAGTGCAAAAAAGTCTTAACCTGTAGAGAAATAAAATTTTACTTGGACTTTAAATCGCAGTGCTCAAATTTATTCTTGTTAGATATAGGTCATATCCCATTACAATCAAAGATCGGAAACTAGAATATAAAACAGATTTTTAAATCCTAGTTAAGATCCATTTATTTGATAACTCTTTGGAATCCTTCTAAAGAGAATTTGTAGCAAATTAATTGTAGGTTTATGACTAAATTGAGAAAACTGACATTTAATGAGAAATTCTGTTGGATTCTTAATTTTCAAGATGGACTATTTTTCTTCATGGTCCAACCTAGATACAAGTTAAATGAAATAAATTATCACAAATACATTAAGTTGACTTTGCTGAAAAATATAAGGTGGCAAATTAGTTTTTCTTTTTTTTTAGGATGTAGAATTCTTCAAGTTCTCACTTAATATTGTAAGCTAGGTTGACTACACGTTTTTACACAATAGACTGATATTTAATACAACGCCCTGATAAGTGATCACTTAGAAGCTGAGGATGTATTGACTTTACATACCTGTCATAAGTTTACCAGCATGGAAGCCATTAGGGGGAATGCTTATTAGAGCTACAACAATAAGGGCAAGCGGGGACCCAGACTCAGTGTGCTTATCCCTCAAATCGTCATCGTTGCTCAAAAATTTCAAAACTCAAAAATAAAACGAGAAAAGCCATATAATTACCTTATATATTTAGACTTTTCCTATATCTTATAAACAGGTAGCTAATAAGCTGCATGTTCACAGAAAGGTGAAAAGCCTAGCTATCACAGAAATCTCCAAATGCCTTTTCTTTAGAATTCCTGCTTGGTACAATTTCTGTCATCCTAATGGATTACTGAATTTTATTTCCTTTTGTGTTACAGCTAAGATTAAAAATCTGATTCTAGAAGAGTATTTCTTTTTCACACTATACATGCTTCTCACATTCTTACTTATGAGGACAAAAAATGGTTGGGAATGTGTTCTCGAAGGTGTTTTTGTTATATTCTATAGAGAAAGGTTGCTAACATAATTCTAACAAGAGATTGTTTTTTAACTGATAGTCCACCATTTGACCCAACATCTTGTTTTGATAAAGTAATAGACTTCCTTTCCAAAGGAGGCTGGCTGGTTTTTACATTAAAATGACTAAAAATCAAAGTCATTTATAGAGAAACAATAAAAGATTGGTTATTTTTTTTAAATGTGTTAAAGAAGGTGATTTTCTTTTCTACCTTTCACCAGGATAGTTTCTTGTTAAACTGGCTGAAATGTAAGATGCCAAAAATTTACCAAAGTGAAGTACTTCTGGTTTTATACACAAACCAAGCCAAACAACTCTTCCTCCCCACAAACACACAAGGAAACAAAAACCAAATCCAAAACCACCCATAGGAAGGGATGACACACAAACCCTCTTACTGCACCCCCCAGGCCCCACTGTCCCCTCAGGATCACATGGGAACAGCACTCACCTGCCACTGCCCAGTTCTCAGGCCAGACTGGGAGCTTCCCAAGGAGGCTCTGCTTCTTTCCGGGGTGACTGAATAGCTTCACTAAGAACATACCAAAATCATAATTCAATACATAATAAATGCTACCAATAGTCACACTGGAGGATTCCCTGGAAGTCATCCAACAAGAATTATCTATTAGCGGGCTGGCCGAGTGGCTCAGTTGGTTAAGAGCACAAGCTCTGAGCAACAGGGTTGCTGGTTCGACTCCTACATGGGCCAGGGAGCTGCGCCCAAGCTGAGCTGCCGCTGAGCTGCCAACAGGTGGCAGGATGGCTCAGCTGGTGAGAGCACGTGCTCCTAACAACAGGGTTGCTGGTTCGACTCCCGCATGGGATGGGGGGCTGTGCCCCCTGCAACTAAGATTGAACACAACACCTTGAGAGCGGCCATGAGCTGCTGACGGTGGCCAGATAGCGACTGGACTTGGAGCTGAGCTAGCTGCACGCTCTATAACTAAGATTGAAGGACAACTTGGCTGTTCCCCTTCCCCAATTCACCAATAAAATCTTAAAAAAAAATTTATCTATTAGCAAATAACACTTTTTCTCTCCCACCCAGTTTATTGTTTTTAGTCTTTAGTTTAAATATATACCTTTAAAGAAGGACTTAAAATACTTTACTTAGCCTTGCTAGTAATGGCAATAACCTGCAGTAGTATTAGGGAATACTGAGGCTTAAGATTCTAAGTCGCAATTTTACAACAGTACAACACAGTGGTATGTTCACTCTCATTCATGCTACTTTGAAACTGACGTACATAGATATTAACACAAATACACACTTTAAACTGAAAGATAATATAAATGTGCTGAAGATCAAACTTTTATATTAACATAGTGTTCAGTGTGTTGCCAAAATGTTTGAGAGTTAAAGATACTCTGTTGCCAGTAAAAAAAAACACCAAGAAGTCTGGAGCAGGTAAGAAAAGTATAGAATGCTCTTCTTCGTGCTTTCTTATTAGTTCAGGAAAAAAAGACTAATTTCTGACCCTTGAATATTCTGGTATTTCTAGAAGCTGTCACCCTTGTTTTGAAATTATTAAATGAAATTAAATATGCATTTAATACTAGTTCTGTAAAAACAGGCTCCTCACTATTTTCTGTAGGGTCACAAAATCACTCAGGATTAAAACTAGGCACCTAGTTTTCATCAGGATATTTTCTACTTACCCATGGTTTCATTGAATGCAACACAAATTCTATTAATTGTCTTTATTCCATATGGAAAAGTACAGTAGTTGTGCAGAAACAAACTACAGAACAAAAGAGTAAGACGTTCACAAATATTAAAGAAAACAATAAACAATAAATAAGCCATAGTAGTTATAGCAGAACTCATGAAAAGCCTATAAAAAATGGTAAAGCTGTACAACATACAACAGGAACAAATGTTGAAGAATAACACCAGAAGATTCCTATTCGTACAAAACTATAACAATGCTCACAGGAACTTCATTACAACGAGTCGTTTTTAAAACATTCTGTAAATATAGAACTTCCTTCTCCCCCAATTCTAGAAAATAAATTTCACATCCCAACATATAAAACAAAGACACTCCCGCCTCTCTCAAACTAGCATTTTTAACATCCTTCAATAGCACACCATTTTCATATAAAAATACCTTTAAACCAAGGTTCATTCCTGTACCTTTTCTTTACAAATTAATAATACATCAGTTTGGACTTAAGTAGCACCTCAAAGGTGTTCAAATAAATGAGATAAAGTGCCGTTACTGGTACACTGTTAACATGCCATAATAATATATCGTTCAGTGCAATAACCAGCATGGATGAAGCTGACAACATGCAGATATATGACTTTTTTTTTTTTTAAAGATTAACTACTTGAAATAGTTATATTTACAAGTCTGAATACAACTTGGCTATTTAATATATACATGTGACTATAAGTAATGAATGTATAAAAAAACAAAAGCAACCAATCAACCAGACCTTAAGTATCCAAATTAAATATTGTCCTTAAAGGGCCCTGGAAGGTTTGCTCCAGGAGCGCTCTCATTGTTAAAAGCACTTTAGGAACAAGGAGAGAGCTAATTTACGTGTCACCAAGAATGCAATGTTCTTAGTAGTTTAGCCCAAATCCAACTTGACCACCAATCATGATTCCAAATGGCTTAATACTGTTTCCAAATATTAAAACACCTTGAAGTGGGAATATAGTTCCAAAAAGGTTCTGTAAAAATGTGTTTAATGAGAAGCATAACATGGAAATAAGTGCTTAACCCTCTTCAGGAAACTGCTTTCAAGGGAACAATATTTGGATGTTCTTGTATTTTTCTTTAAAAAAAAAATCAGCTATAGAACATTTATAGTCACACATATTCAGCTAGAAATCACTTAGGTCTTAATTTTATGTGTATGTGTATATATATATATATATATATATATATATATATATATATATATATATATATAAAAATTGGGATTTGACTCAATGGAACTGTAACTTGAAAATTCCATCTTTTCCAGAATACATCATCTGGATATTATGTAATGAGTTAAACCTATCACTAGACATTTATATTCTCTATGAAATATTATTATTTTACCACATAGCAAAGGCTAGGAGAAAAATGATAAAAACTTCATAGGAGAAAAAAGCATGAGTTAATGTCTTCTTGGCTTTCTTAAACTTGCAACTTAATAGGCATAACTAATTGTAGTTTTTTATTCTGGTTAGCATTCTTATTTATGGTGACTTCTGGCTATTTATCAAAGAAATTTTATCCCATATTTAAAATAAATCAGTGATATCTGATCAATCCCCAAGGAAAAAAGAAAAAAAATATGGCTAAAAATAATTTTTCTCATTTAAAAAAAACCAAAAAAACCCATTAAGTTACCACCAGGAGCCTACGCACTGTTTTCCAAATTCTACAAATGGGTGTCTCTTAAGGCTCACACATTGGACTCTATGAATGATCGCTTTGGTTTTGCTGAAGGAAGGTGACTCCTATGGGCTTCATTACTGATATGAGGCTGCTGTTTAGAGATACTTTCCTGATACAGATGAGAAACAGTCTTAGTTATCCTGTTATCTTGACAGTGGGCTGGAATTTGGCACTTCCTGTCTTCTAGTTCCTTCACCTGTGACCCGTTGTGGACACTTCCACCCAGGGTAGAAATAGAACAGGTTTTGGCTTGGCTGTTATATCCTGCTGCTTGTTTGAGAGAGGGCTTCTCCGAGTTCGAGGGCTGCAGGCCAGCTGCAGAAGATGTGTTTGTCAGCAGCCCCTCCGGCCCCTGACAGTGCCAGGTGCGGGCTGGAGGATTGCTCTGCTGCTGGAACCTCGCAGTCTTATCCATGATGCCCATAAATGGGGTATTGCGTGGTCTGTGCTCAGCGGTGCCGCTCTGAACCTGGGGAACCGCCTTATCTTTAACCCGAGCATCTGGTCCTTGGCTCTTGAAGCCATCTGAAAAACTGCTGCTTGAAGTCAAACTACTGTTTGAACTTGACATCTTGATGCTGCTGGATGGAGAACTAGAAGAGCCTGAGCTGGTGAGGGACGCTGGGTGTCGCAGGTCGCTGCAGCTCACGGGCCCCCCTGGGCTGAGAGGGGCTACATCCACGGCCACGGAGGTGTGAGACAGGAGCCTCTCCGCGGTTTTGATCTTGCTTGGTAAAGGATATGCAGCTCCGCTCTCAGTGTGCTGCAGCTGAGCACTGTGGCTGGGGCCCGGGCGATCCCCAAAACGGCCAGAACCCACCGCCAACGCGAAAGCGCCTGTTCCCTCGGAATGCTGGTTTCTGCCGCCAGTAGGAGTTGCAGCCATTCTGCCCGGCATGGGACTTGGGGGAGGATTTGGAGAAGGGACCTGAATCTTTGTGCTGCCGTTCCTCACGCCAGCCTGTCCGGAACCCAGATGTTGGCTGGTTTTCACTATCTGTGCCTGCTTCGTGGGTTGCATCACCAGCCCTGGCTGCGCGACAGGCTCCCTCAGCGGCTTGGGGATTCCTGGCCTGTTCTGTGGTGAGACGGGCCTTAGTTTGGACTGTAACCCTTCTTGAAGGTTTCGGATATACGGGGAGGGGACGGAGGATGGTTGGGACCTGGGAGTCAGGGAAATGGATTCTTCCTGTGGAGAAGTTTCTTCTTCTTCAACCTCCTCAAGATGAAAACGGTCGTTTGATCCAGGGGTGGGGACGTCCTCCTCGTTATCTGAGTCATTGGGTGGGGCCGGGGGCGGGCACTGCTGTTTTTGCTGCTGGCTCCTCTGGAGTTGTTTGCATTCCTCTTCCACGCGGGCCAGGAGCCTCTTGATTTCCTGGTTGGTGGGACAGAGTTTCACAGCCTCCCGCAAGTCAGCCAGAGCTGCCACAAACTGCCTTTATATTAAAAAAGAAGAAAGATATAATGGCAAGCGGTGGAAGCGCATGCTCTGAATGTAACTATTCATAAAAGAGCTCTCTGCTCCAAGGAAACGGAAGGTAGCTGAGTGAATTTTGAACACTTACTTTGGTAGACAGGACCCACTGAAGTAGTTTAGGATTACTCAGCTAAGGGGGATTGCTGACTTCTAAACCCAGATTCTGTGAGACCCCAGGGTCCTGCTATCTCTATAAAGACCACTGGGCTGGGAGTGAGACCGGGCATACATCAGTGGGCGTCAGGATCCTCTCGAAGTTGTCTTCACACTCCTTTCTCACCATGCCCACCTCTAACTTAAAAATCTTATAGGACTCCTCCCCTCTGCCCCACCACCTCCTCTTAATTTTGCTAGCTGGCACTTTCACCGACAATATGGACTAATCAAGGAATTTTATGTTGTAGTTAAGTGTCAGCTGTGGTGGACTAGTTAATGAGATGTCAAGAGAAAATAAATGTTTAGCCATTGCTAGTAATATCTGCTACTGTGCTTCTTGGAAGCTACCAATTTAGTCCCACAAGGGACATGAGGCTGAGGCTCAGAAGCCCCAAAGTCATCCAGCAGCTTCAAGACCACAGAAGCACAAGAAAACTTCCCTAGTCACAAATCCAACCCCAGACATTACCTGCTATTTCTCTTCGCTCTTGCCCTGGCATAGAAGGCTTCATAAGACCTCGGTTTCAATTCAAGAGCCTTGGAGGCAAATTCTTCTGCCATGCCGAAGTCCTGGTGTCAAGACATGAAAGATAGTTTGGGGAATATAATCAATAATGTTGTAAAGATTTTGTAGGGTGTCAGATGGTCACATGTCTTATTAGGGAGACCACTTCATGGATGGTGTAGAGGTCTGACCACTGCACTGTACACCTAAAAGCTGAAGCTGAATAATAATGAATGTCACCTATAATTTAATATAAAAAGTAGTCATGGGATATGGAGTACAGCATAGGGAATAGTCAATGGAATTGTAACAACTATATACAATGTCAGAGGGGCAATAGATTGGGGGAGTGGGATTATCACTTTCTGAGGGGTGATATGTCTAACTATTACATTGTTTTGTACACCTAAAACTAATTTTAAAAAAATAACTGTATAATACATAAATAAATAAATAAATAGAGTCAAAAAAAGTACTGAAACATGATTACAGGCAACTTTTAAATAGGAGGTTTGCTCTAAAGGTTAGCAGAGAATTGGGGCATAACGGGAGAGAGGTGAAGGGCACGGCAAGTTTATTTATTTATTGTTTTTGTTTTAAAGTTAGGAGATAGTTAACGCTTATTAATATTCTTGAGAAGAATCCATAGAGAAGCAAGAATTAATGATTGAGGAGCGAGAGGAGGGCAGTGGTAGAAGCAGTACAGCAGAAGCCTGCAGCAGATGGCACCCAGCACACCGAAGGAGGGCCAACCTCACAGAAGGGCACAGAGGCGCCATCCACTGAGACAGGAAGGCAGGCAGAATATGTGGGCCCCGAAGCCTCCGGTCAACAGATGTGGTGGTGAGAGGTGAAATTAAAAAAAAAAAAAAGTAGCAGAAAAAAAAGAAGTACTGAAACAAATCTAGCTACTAGTTACAAATTAACTATGAGTTAGCTACTATGTATTACAAATTAAACAGTTACTGTCATATCCTCTGAACAAACATAATAAGCACCAGGCAGATTAGAACATATTGGAGTTGAACTCTATACCAGGCCCTTTCCTTTTGAATCCCGTGACAATGTTGGCAATACACAGTTGGGTCGGGGTGGAGGGGCACTTTGTATTTGTTTCTCATTGAAGCAGAGGAAACTACACCCAAGTGCATTCTCTCAACATCCTGAGAGGTGGGTAGTGACACTGATCAAATGATGGTTGTTCAAGAGAAGCGGCTTCCCATATGCCAGGTCCACAGAAATGTGCACACAAATTGGATACGAGGTCCTGTGATTTGGTCTATGGAAGGGCTGTCCTTCACCACTGTGAAAACATTTGATTGCTAAAGGATTGGAATAAGGGGGCACAGCTTACATTTGTTTTTCTTCGGCAGCGAGACAAATTGAGATAGAGGGAAACTCTCAGTTCATTGAACGGTCTCATGTCCTCTCCGAATCCTTCTCGAGGGAACTTCCTTAACGCGTACTGGTACCTCTGGGCGGCCTCTTTCATCTTCCCTTTCTAGGATCCCAAAATCACAGACATTTATCCCTTACCAGAAGCTCCAAGATGAATAAGCTCCCACACCCTGAAGATCCTGGAGAGGTTCTTCTCTCTCCTACCCCCAACCAAAACCATGCCAGCGCATCGAAAGGGTCCTGCTGAGGAAGTGCTGTAGCCAGAACACTGACCAGCGTGAACACCCATGGCCTCACTGTCCACGCAGGCTTTTCTGCAGCATGTGCTTCACACAGCAAGAAAGGCGCCGGTTTTACAGGAAGGCGTCTGTAAATTGCCAAACTGATAACTATCAATCTTAACACCTCAGATTATCTTCTCATATATTTTTGAAAACCATTTCATGGATGCATCTCTCATCTAGAGGTATTTTAATGCTAAGTGTAATAGAAATCAGATGAAACGTGATGCAGTTCCTAAGGCAAGTGGAGTCTTGTGGATAAACCTACAGCTTGCTGTAGAATAATAATTTTTCTTTTAAGAGGAGCTAAAGCACGGGCTTTAAAAATCAGAACGGCACCGCAAGTCATTTTCAAGGCTAAAAAAATCCATTTGCTCAGTAATTTCCGTTGCGCAGCGGGTATGAAGTCTGTTGGAAATGGCTCGGTATTTCTAACATAATTGCCTACCAAAATTCACATTAAAACCACTTCAAAGCCACAACAACACACACTCTGAACTCAATTTCAAACTGATTCCCAGCCAGGAACCCTGCTGGGTCATGCTATATGCCTATTTATTTGTTATTATTAAAAAAAGGAAAGGGGAAACCTGAAACATAACAAGTGCAGCAGCCTCGTGGTAACAAGAATTAAAATGGTCATAAATCTAGGTTGTTTTCATAATCTTTTAATTCTGTTTAATCACGGACATGGAAAGAACAGTGATCTATACAAATGGCCTAAGCATCTATCTAAACTGGGTAAAGTACAGCTTCTGGGCCAAATCTGGTCTGCCACCTGTTTTTACAAATATAGTTTGATGGGGAGACAGCCATGCCTTGTTCATTTATCTGTATTATCTGTAGCTGCTTGGGTTGCCACCACACCAAAGCTGGGTCGTTGTGACGGAGACCGCACAGCAAAGACTACAATATTTACCATCTAGCCCTTTCCAGTAAAAGTTTGCTTTTGATCTAAACTGAGGTCTAATTTTAGAAAATTTAAAGTTCAACTTATTAATCTGTAAATTCTATTTCTATCTCTAAGGGAAAATGGGGATAAAACATATAATTCAGTCTCCTGAGTAACTGAGTATTACGTATTACTTCATTATCTTAAGTAAAAGTATCTCTAGAAACAGTTTTCAATTCCAGAAGCTTATAGCTATTAAGATAAGATGACCAAGGCTTGAGAGACAATGATTCTTTTCTCCTGAAAGTGTCTCTTATGTGTCCCCTTCCTGTGTGTCTCGTGACCTTGGGCACCGAGGAGTCTCCTATATGACGTGCCAATTAAATTAGAGGCAACTCTGCCTCCACGCCAAGGCTTCAGGCCATAAGTCACCGGTACAGCCACAGGAGTCATTCAGGAATAATGGTTTCCAAACACAATGAGAAAAGTGCTTTCTACCTTGAAGATTCTGCCATTAAGATATTAAAGCCCGGGCGTGCGGCCAGGTTAGCATCTCTTAGAGCTTCTGTGAAAGCTACACTGCGTGTATTCTGTGTGGTAGCACAGCCACGTCCATTATACACCAAAGGAAGAGGTTGCTCGAAGGCCATTACCACATCACAGAAAAGGGTGAAACCACTTACTTTGTACATCATGTTTCCTTCCTCCATCAATTTCTGTAAAAGTATAATCAAAATATCAGGTTTGGAAGTAGCCATCGCCCAAGCAGCATTTCCTGCAAAATAAACATGCATTCAGAGGCACTTCGGTGGCCTTGGGATAAAGGAGTTCAATACTTCTGTGCCCCCCAACACCCTGTGCGCATACATGCGCGCGCGCACACACACACACACACACACACACACACACACACACACACACACACACACACACACACACAGAGCTAAGATCATAAACAGCAGAGAGCCAGCTGCAGGGCACCACTGCTCTGTGTCCTGCAGACCTCCAGACAACAGCACCATGAGGAAGAGGGAGCAGGACACGGCGAGCACTTTCCTTTCTCGTTTGTCTTAAACTGAACTAAGCATGTAGGACGAAAACTGTACCCAGCACAAACTGTCGCTGTTCCAGTGAAAAAGCACTGGGAAACTAATGCACCACAACAGCCATGACCCCTCCCTCCCTCCTGATGGGGATTTGGGGTAAAATCAATTAAACAAGGCTTCAGAATAATTTCCTTAGTTCCCTGCAGTGCACACGACCGCTGGCAAGTGAAGGCATGTTCTCAGCATTTTCCTGCACTCTGCCGCAGTCTACCATTAAATCTGCTCTGAGATGTCTCAGCTTCGGCCCTTCTGCCCTCTTCCCACCACTCGTCCTCTCGGCCCTCCCCGCTCACAGCTCCGTCCAACTTCTCCCAGCCCATAGCACGGGCATGACCTTCTTTCCAACCCTCTTCTAAACATGGTGCAGCAAGTGGTGCTCAAGAGCACAGACCCAGACGTCAGGCGGCTCTGGTTCAGACCCTGACCACTTGCCTCCTCTGCGCCTTGGTTTTCTCCTATGTAACATGATGGCATTATCACCACCTCTTTACAGGGTTGGTGAGGATGAAGCAAGCTAAAACATGGAACTGCTTAGAAAAGTGCCCTATACCGTGAACTGCTTAATAACATTAGCTAATATTGTCTTCATTACAGCCCCCTCCTCAGAACTGCTGGTGGCCCACGTTCTGCCCTATTAAACCAAAACAGTGCTGTTCTGGTTGATGTTCCCCACACAGTCTGAATGGTGTGTCGTGTTCCAACCAGCCACATGGAAGGGGCTCGCCCTCCTTAGATCACTCCGCCCCCTGACATTATCTTCCAGTAACCCCTCACTTTGTCTCCAGGAAACCACAGGAAGTTTCCCTCACATAAACTGTGCTGGGGTTGCCATTTCCCTATCCAACTGACTGCTTATTCTAGAACAGTGGTTCTCAAACTCGACTGCTGATTAGAACCCCCTGTGAGGTTTCTGGGCCCACCCCACCCCCAAGGAGTGGAATAGATGTGCTTCCTGGCATGGGTCCCGGGCATCCTAAATACCCTGAAATTCTAGAACGTCCAATGTTGGCCTCAGTTTCCTACCCACACCACAATAATAATATTATGAGGTGTTTAAACATTTTAGGTGACTGTGATTAATGAGCCTTAGAGAGGGAGAAAAAAAAAAATCTCCAAACACCTGACGTCTTAACCTGGGAGCACGTAAGTCTTTATGGTCCCAAACGTATTCTGAAATCTGAAGCCCACCTTCCTCTCACTGCTGAACTGAGGTGTTTACTGACCTAATTTGGCTCCTTTTCTCAGCAGTGTAACCACTACAGATGTGTTTCGACAACCGATGGCTCTGTCCAAGGGACGCATGCCGCTGTGGTCCACGTGCTCGATCACGGCTCCCTTCTCAACCAGGTACAGCACCTGCGTGGAGAACAGAGGCCCTGAGGCGCAGTTCGCGGCAGAAGCATGGCCACATGCCCCCCCACCCCAACTCCTGCATTTGTGTGTAGCTGCTGGCAGAGAAGAGAAGCTGTGACCCATACCCAATACCCGCTCTGCTGAAGGGAATCTGGTATCAGCAATGAGGGAGGCGGGTGAACGCTCCCAGGGAGGGATGTGCTGTGTACATGCACTCATGGACCACAGATGGGTCTACGCACGTCATCACCTGTCTCTGTGTCACTCCACCTCCCAGGCCCCAGCGATGAGACAGGCACATTTTCATCTCCAATCACTTAGGAGGCACACTGTGCAATGGTGCCAGTGTGCCGGCAGGCTGCGGCAATGGGCACTTCAGAAACACTCAGGCCTACACATAGCCTAGGTACAGCAAGCAGGATAGACCAGCAGCCTGGGATCAAAGGGACCCAATTATAACTCACTTTAAGGCTTAGGGTAGAGACCTGGATATAAAGAGCGCTGGGACTCTAAAGATGTCAAGTTTGAGACCCTGGTTGATTTGATGAGATAAAATCATTTCACTTGGACTAAACAGCAAACAACAGGGAAAATCATGTTGGCCACTCAAATTGGAAAAGGGGACTGTAGCCAGTTTAGATTTTCATGGGGATCTGAGAGATAGATCCTATCAGTTAGCCTGGTATTCAAAATGACACTGGAGGAAATCAATATCCAGGATATGTAAAAAACTCCTGCAACTCAACAACAAAATCCCGAATAACCCAATTTAAAAATTTAAAAGGGCCAAGGGTCTGAATAGACATTTCTCCCAAGATACTATACAAATGGCCAATAGGTATATGAGAAGATGATCGGCATCATTAATCATCAGAGAAACGCAAATCAAAGCTACAATGAGATATTGCTTCACACTGTTAGCATGGCTACTATAAAAAAAAAAGCAGAAAATAATAAATGTTGGTGAGGATGTGGAGAGATAGGAACCCTGTGCTCTGTCAGTAGGAATGGAAAATGGTGCAACCACCTGGGACGGACTACGGAGGTTCTTCAAAACATTAAAAATAGAATTACCATATGATCCAGCAATTTCACTCTTGGGTCTATAGCTGAAAAAAAATATGGATAGATCTCAAGGAATTTGCAGGATCTCAGAGAAATATTTGTATACTCATGTTCATAACAGCACTATTCACAACAGCCAAAGAGGGAGGAAACCTAAGTGTCCATAGATGGATGAACGGATAAAGAAAATGCGGTACATACACACAAGGGAATGTTATTTGACGGTAAAAAGGAGGGAAATCCTGTCACATGCTACAACATTGATGAACCTTGAAGATATTATGCTAAGTGAAATAAGCCAGATACAAAAAGACAAATACTGTATGATTTCGCTTCTGTGAGATGCCCAGAGCAAATTCAGAGAGACAGAAAGTAGACTGGTGGTTGCCAGGGGCTGGGGGAGGTAAGAGGGGAAGTTGTTTAATGGGTAAAGCGTTTCAGTTTTACAAGATGAGAAAGTCCAGACATTGGTTGCACAACAGTCAGTGTACTTAACATTACTGAATGCTTCGCTTAGAAACAGATCAAGGTAGATTTTATGTTGTGTTATTTATTCCAATTTTTTTAAAAAGGCACTAGGACGGTAAATTTCTTCACTCTTCACTTATGTTGATAAACTACAGGATTTTGTAAGGTAGTATGAACTGAAAAGTAAAAGTGTGGATATGTGAGGTTTAGTTCAATAGCTGTTTTTGAAAATCGATATTAAGTACAGTTTATCACGTCTAGAAAATTGAGACTACGTAACTCTAATATCACTGCCTTTTAAAAGCATCCAGGCACCGAGGTGCAGGGTGATGATGGCTTTTGCTCCAAGGTCCACAGCTCCTAGCAACATGATACCTGTCTCTCTAGCTAATCTGGACATTAGACATATATAAATATCTAAAAGTGGTAATTTCTCAAGGGACTGAATATTCCTCTAGAACGTGCTGAGTGCCAGAGATGTGCAGCCTGACAAAGACACTGTTTCTACCCTGAAAGACATTTTGCAATTCTTAAAGTTTTATCCCCTTACACCTCTATTAGATTTAAAGGCATGGGTCACAGAGATAAAGATAGTGCCCAAAGCATTTTATATTACTTCTAGACAATGCCATATGGCTTTAAAAACAAACCCGTTAATTATTTGATTAACAATTTCTCAATGTAGAAAAGTGATTTTTAAATGATCTATACAGGAATTCTATTTCTATGGATTACTGTAAGAAAATTAAACTACAATGCACGCGTGTATGCACATCCATGTATGTGTCTGTTGTATGTACAGTTTGTAATCATTTATTTTTAAGCTTTTAAGAACCCATTAAAATCTTTACTACGGTTCTGATAGATTGTATGTCACAGAATTAAAGAAAACTGAAAGCTACCCCACAACACACACGAACACACTGACCACCCTCAGGCACAGCCTTACACACACACAGGAGATGTTTCGGGTCCTGGGTTTCACTGTGGCGCTGGCCCAGGTGGAGGAGTGCGACCACCCGCGATACCTACGGTCTCTGCATCACCGTAGAAGGCGGCAAGGTCCAGGGGCGTGCGGCCATTCTTGTCCATCTGGTCTATCTCGGCTCCTTCCTCAACCAGAAACTGGACCACTGCCCTGTGACCTTTCAGACAAGCCCAGCTTAATGCTGACAGACCCTCTTTGTCCAGAGAAGAAAGGGTGGCACCTGAAAGACAAACCCAATCACAGAACATGAACTCCTAGAGACGAGGCCTGGGAGCACAGCATCTCACACCTGCACACACCTGGCCTGAACATGTGGCAAGCAGGTGCTGTGAAATTTGAAGCCGACTTGGCAAAACGATCATCCTTGTTGAAGTTGAGTAATGGATGTGTGGGCTTCGTTACCTATTCTCTCTACATGTGTAAGTTAGAAGTTTTCCATAACAAAAAGACTTATAATATGAATCAGAAAGTACTGAATGAGGGAGCAGCTGGTTAACTCAGGTGGTTAGAGTGCAGGCTTATAACACCAATGTAGCTAGTTCGATTCCCACATGGGCCAAGGAGCTACGTCTTCCACAACTAGATTGAAGACAACTACTTGACTTGGAGCTGATGGGTCCTGGAAAAACACACTGTTCCCCAATAAAAATAACTAAAAAAGAAAGAAAGAAAGAAAGAATAAGTCTGCCAAAGCTCTTTTAATTTTTTTTTTTTTTAAGATTTTATTGGGGAATTGGGGAAGGAGAACAGCCAAGTTGTTGTCCTTCAATCTCAGTTGTGGAGGGTGCGGCTAGCTCAGCTCCAAGTCCAGTCACCATCTGGCCGCCCGTCAGTAGCTCGCGGCTGCTCAGTTCAAGGTGCTGAGTTCAATCTTAGTGGCGGGTGGGCGTAGTCCACCATCCCATGCGGGAGTCAAACCGGCAACCTTGTTGTTAGGAGCACGTGCTCTTACCACCTGAGCCATCCTGCCACCTGTTGGCAGCTCAGCTGTAGCTCAGCTTGGGCGCAGCTCACTGGCCCATGTGGGAATCGAACCAGCAACGCTGTTGCTCAGAGCTTGCACTCTTAACCAACTGAGCTACTCAGTCAGCCCCAAAGCTCTTTTCTTTATCCTACTAAAGAAACCTATGCAGGGGTGGACAGTGCCGTTACCTTTTGAAAGGAGAAATTCCACAGTGCTCAAGTGCCCTTCACAAGCGGCCACCATGAGGGGCGTCCGGCCCTGCTTGTCACTTAGGTTCACATCACAGCCATGTTCCAACAGCAATCTCACGATCTGAAATAAACACTCGGAGTTACAATCTTTCTGCTATATTTTATATCATGTTCTCTACACCCAGGCAGGATTTTCCACTTTTAAAAATAGCAAAAAGACTCTCTTCTTTTAAAAACTCCTCTATAAGTTGTGTAATCTAAGTAGCCTACAAAATATTTCTATTGTATTCCTTTGAACAAAATCTTCTTCCAAATGTATACTAAAACAAAATACCATGCCCAAGCCAGGCAGAAATAGGAATTTGGAGGAGGGGTGCCAATCACAATCAAGTAATGCATAGACAGCCACAGCGGGGCGTATGGGATAACTGAGCAGAACTAAAGGGGGGCGAGTAATGGTCGTGGGTCCCCATGCTGGCGCTGAAGTGCATTTCTGTAGTAAACGGCACAGAGCAGGGGAAGTGGGGCGCAGGAAAACATTCACCCACCACACCCCCAAGCAATCTGCTTTTTTAAGACTTGGGGCTTGGTGGATGGCTCGACCTTCACAGAGGGCAATTTTTAGCAAAGCTTCCAGGGGGAAAGTCTCAGCTGAGGACCATGCCTTTAAACAGTACATGTGCTGAGGCTGGAAAGCAAGAACATGAAACCAGAGAGGACTGTCATACAACCACCACCCCAGCAGGAATGGCTTAGCCAGGGGGTAGTCAAGTCTCTCCGGCACGACATTTGTTCTGTCACCACAACAGAAGAGGGGGAGTATTCCCATGGCTTTCTTGTTCTTGATACACTAACAAATGCTTTTCCCATGACTGAGGAAAAAGACTAAGAGAGAGGATTAGCCAGGGCACCATGTGAAAGCTGTGAGGGTAACAGGGAATGGATGGTACAAACCAAGCTCTTGGAAATAAAAGGAGAAAAGCCAAAATCTGGGTGGGGACCACTCATAGCTCCTACCAGTGGAGCTAGCAGGAATCAGGAGAGAAGTGATACCATGCTGTGAACTTGGGTTTAGAAAATTCTTCCTATAACGAACACAGGAACATCCATTTATTTGTTTGTTGCTTATGTGTAACCTGGTGCCAGGTATGGCCACTGTTTACAGAATGATGACATAAGTGACTGAATGCTGCTCTCAAGGATCTCCTGCTCCCTTGAATTAATGACAGCAACGTGTCATTCACAGTAAAAGAAGTCAGTCCAAATCACAGTGCTGGACCAGAGGGAAAATGTGTCCTTTTCCAAAAGGCACAACAGAACCACTCTTCTTCCAAGTATGCTGGGCAAATGGGTCACACTGTCACACCAACAACAGGCATGAAAAAGCAAGTCTTCTGTTATCATGATGGGGACCTCCCACTCCATTTCCCCTCCCAGTTAACAGGAAGCAGCTGTGGGTCTCAGACCTGGTTAGCAGCCTACATGGCTGACTGTGCTAGTTCATCAAACGGTTGCCTTAACTAGTAGTACCCACAGCACACGCTGAAGCCAAGAACGCCAAAAAGACAGGGCTCAGGGAGCCACATCGGGGCCCAGAGACGGGCCATCGTGAACTCAATCCCCGCTCATTGTGTCCGAAGCACACAGGGGCCCACTGGGTACCTGCCAATGTCCCTGGCGGGCTGCACAAAACAAAGGTGGGACCCCTCTTCGGTTAGTCCGAGACACAGCAGCTCCACACTCCAGCAGCAGCTCACAGACTTCCAGCTTCCCTCGTCCTGCAGCGGCAGTCAGGGCTAAAGGAGAGTCACAGGGGAGGAGGAGACTGTGAAGATGTGGTGGCTAAAGGTGGCCAAAAACTCCTGGACACTCCTGCCACTGAGAGGAAGAGGTCTATGGCCACCACCGATATCTGGGTGGGCTCTGTGACTTCTTTGACCCACGCAACATAGCAGAAATGACTCTGTGCCAGCCTCTGGGCCCAGGTCCTAAAAGATGGGCAACTTCCACTTCCCTGGAACAGCCATTCTTGGAACTCAGATGCCATGCTGTGAGGGAACCCAAGCTGCCCTGTCATGGGACCCACAGGGAGAGGAACTGAGGCCTGTGTGTAGCTGCCAGTCCCAGGCGAGCTCTCGGCAGCCAGCCAGCAAGAAGTTGCCAACCATGCATGCACCATCCTGGAAATGGCTCCCCAGACTGAGTCTGGCGATACCAGCTGAAGCGGTGTGAGCAGAGGTGAGCCACCATCCCTGCAGAGCCTGACTCAAACTGCAGATTCAGGAGTCACTAAGTTTTTGCTTTATTGTTTGTTTGTTTGTTTCCCCACAGTAAGAGATAACCTGAATATAGTGCAACACAAACAGAGGTCAGTATTATTGTCCAGCCTAGCTTCTTACCCTAGAGTCATACATTTCATTCAACAAGAACTAATAATTACTGAGGCAGTCAAGAGCATATCCCATCACACCCGCCTTTATGGACCTGGGGGTTAGCACCACTGTCACAAGTCAAGATTTGAAATTAAGAATGTCAAGAAAGCAAAAAAGGGGGATCAGGTTACAGAGGGCCCTGGGCGCTCAGGCGAAAATCCCAGTGTGATTCTGGAGGCAGTGAGCTGCCTGCCTGTGGCAGTGGTGCTGTGGGGGGTCAGCCAAGGATAAAAAACGGTCTGAAGGGGGATAGGATATGGGGCAAGGGTTCTCAGGATGCGCTCACATCAGTGGCTGTGCCTCCACGCCCCCAAGTCGTGATTCTTCATGAGGGTGTTAAAAGAGGGGTTTAGTTAGAAGAGGGGCCTCAGCTATGTCATGTGAGTCACTGTCTGGAGGAAGGGATGGTAGGTTCGGGGACAATCCCAGGCCAGATGACAAGCTTTCAGTGGAGAAGATGACAGGAAGGGGCCAAGGGGGGAGGGTAGGGACACCTCAGGAGGGAACGTCTACAGTGCCGAGGAGGCAGGAGGGAGTAGAGTGTGATGCTGTCTCTCTATTCCCGGGACAGATTTGTTTATAGATACAGCCTCTGCCTACAAATGTCCAGCTTTTGGACTATGTCAACTGTTCCTTCAAATCAGTAAGGCATCTCAGTATGAAAACAGGGAAAACATCAGAATAAGCCCTCAATGAGATGAAGTCCAGGTACCAATGAACTTACTATGACAAGTACCCGGCCTCACTAGGAAGCCAAGTAACGGAGAGGTGGGCGTGGAGCAATGGGAATGCTCATATGCCGGTGGGAGTGCGACTGGGTGACCCGCTCTGGAAAACAGCATGACACTCCTGAGACAAATTGAAGATGCACATGTCCTACCCCCCAGCAGCGCTGCTTGTGGAGGCATGCCTGGTGGTGCCCTTGGAATGCACCGAGAGACCCATGCAACAGTGCTCACAGCAGCCCCAGACTGGAAGCAACCCAGATGGCCATCAACAGTAGAATGCATCGATCAATTGTGGTATAGTCAAAACAATGGAATGTTACATCGCAATGACCATAAATGCTATGCAGCTAAATGCAACACAATGAGCCAGTCTCACAAACTCAACATCGATTCCAAGAAACAAAACACAAAAGAACAGACACAGGGCGACTTTGTTCATACAGTGTTCTAGTTCAGAAACAGGGCACTGCCAAAGCAGTCTTGGAAGAGGCCCAGGCATGGGCCTCCTTTTAGGAAGGGAGGGGCCTGGCTCAGTGTGAGTCCCTGGGTCTTGCTTGGTCCTGCTCTCCTGGCACCTAAAACTAGCGGAGTCAAGGGCTCAGGAATGCAGCTTTCCACCTGCACGGCTAGGCCTGCCATCCTCCTCAGACCCCTGCTCAGAACAGGCAGCTGTACCTACTGCAACTTCCCCTCAGCCTGGCCATGGTTGAACTCCCAGGAGCCATACGCATAAAAGGATGTAAATCTGACATGTGGGCTGGTCTTCCTGTGACAGAGGGCAGTTCCTCCAAGGAACGAAGTCTCTATGGACCTTCCTGAGGGTCCGTCACAGAGAGGCACTCACATCTGCCTGACAGATCACCTGAGCTCTGCTTCCATCCCAGGGGCCTCACGCCCTGGGGAAGTGAGGAGGGTGGCAGGGCTGGGAGAGAGTGCAAGCGTGCCAGGCAGCCCTACTCTTGGGGACTAAGAATGTAAAAGGTCAGGCTGGGAAGACTGAGTGAGGGGAGCAAACCCTCCCTTTCCAGAAGCGCACATTAGCTCTCACTTTGCTTCTGGCCCTCGGTCCCCCTGAGGCAGGGAATGTGTGACTAGATTGGCTTGTCATCGGGCAATCTTAATAATACTTTCCTGTCATCTATTTGAAGAATTTTTTACAAGAAGAGCCACTTTTAACAACAGTTGCCATCTGTATTATTGACTTTGTCTAGACAGTGCAACCAGAATAAAACACAAACATGAAATGTAAGGCACTGCTGATCTTGACTGCAGTGCCATTCCTATGTGTGTATAAACAAGCTCATTGTCACTGATGGTACTTCTAAACTTGTAAATAAATTATAAACAAATGCCATTAACAGAATAGAATTTTTATCAGTTTTATATATACACTGATGCATTGGGGTAGAGATGGGGGTTCCCGTATCCGAAATATTTGAAAACCAGTCATCAAGGTGATACTGTCTCTACTGTGAGTCTACACTAGCCGGTCTTGGTCCCTGCTGCTCTGAGCATGCTCATTACAGTTCACACCTGCCATGATGTTAATATTAACGATTCCTAAAGCACTTTTATGTATGTTATCTGGATAGATCTGAACATGACCCTGTGAGTGGCTCGTGAGATGAAAGACCTGGGCAGTGAGCCACTGCCCGGACCTGCTGTTCCTTTGCAACCTTCCTCCAGTTAGGGAAGGCCTTCTCTTCCCTCTCTTCCGGAAGTAGCTGAGTATGACAAGGAACGAACGAACGAATGAGCAAACACACACACACACACACACACACACACACACACACACACACTGTAGGCAGGGACATGGCCAGTGTAGGTAGGATACCATTCCTTCCATGGGGAAGGAATAAACTAAGGGCCCTTCCTTTTGATGAGATCTGAGGCAGCTGACCCACCTTAACATTCCATTCTCTTTTATTTGGGAAACAAGTTTCATCCCCATTATAAACGGGGTCTTTAAACCAGGAGGTCTGTTGCAGCTGCCACTGAATTTCTGACAGCAGCACATCAGAAGCGACAGCCCGGCCCTGAAAATAGGGCCCTGTGCTTTACGGAGGCGCCAGAGAAGCCAGAAGTGGGAGCAGCTGACACGTGGACGAGAGCACCGCCCCAGGCCTGGCTTCCGTTCCCTTCTTCCTTTATGGCCTGACTGACTGTGCATTTAGTGATGAACTGCCTTTTGGGGCGATAAAGCACAGGCTGTAAGAGGGTCTCTCAGAGTTTTCTCGGGCCCAACATGGATCGCATTCTGCCCAGAAATTCTTAATGAGACTCTCCTTTTCAAATGATGCCAATAAACAACAGGACCTGTGTTCTCCTTTTTCTCCTCAGATTGAAAATTTTGGCTACATCCCTCAGGGCCCCTGAGGCTAGGCTGTATCTGAAGTTTCAGCAGCCACAAGGATTTAAGGATACCATATTCGGACATAAGGGAGGCTGAAGACTAGTCAACTAGTTGCTTAAACAAACAAAATTAAGGCAAAACTCAGCTCAGGAATTCCAACTATTCTGCTGAAAAGGCTGACCTCTGAGCTGACCAGACTCTGAAGAGGGTCATTGCACTTGGCCTGGCAAGAAAACAGGAGAGGACCAGGACAGGGGGACAGCACCCCACTGCAGTAGGGCAATCAATCCTCATCTACTAGCCAACGAAATTCAAAGACGAAGGAGAAAACAGACTTAGTATGAAAGGAAGACTCTAAAATCAAAATGAACACATGGCACTTTTTAGGACTCAAATTGGACAGAAATTTTTTTTTTTCACTTGCAAAATCCTTAACAAGATGGCACTTTTGTAATTAGATTTCCATGAACACATATATCATTTTCTGATAATTCTGAGTAATTTTAGCTCAGCAATGCTGTGCCCTGTCTTCAGAACATGAGTAGATTTGTCATGGCAGATATTCATTTTAAGAAAACCCAATTGACATTCAATAATGTGAGCTTATTGAAAACATCAGTGAGATATGGTTCTTTGTGCAATGAATCGTTTGCAAGAATCTTTTACGTATTCTGGGTGAAGAGTTGACTTATAAAAACTCAACCGTCAACCTGCCAGGAGCACAGTCATGCCAGAAACAGGGCTGTTTATAATATTTTATGGCAGATCTGTCACTCAAATACACTGGGATTCACTACCTGTTACACCTCTGCCCTTGTTTCTGTCCCCAATTTAGAGACTTTGAGAGAAGGGTGACAAGTCAGCACACAGAGCAGTTCCCAGATTCCAGATAAGGACCTTTTCATACATGACACACTGATGACCCTAAGCACCCACAAAGCCAGAGCTGAGCACATTAGTAAAAGCAGTGTGCACTTGCAGAGGGGCACTTCCTGCTGGTTGAGAAGGCTGAGGGGGTGATGTGGGCAGGGTGGCTCGGCTTTGCTCGTATACTTGTGTTTATTTGTGCAATGTATTTACTCAGGTTGACTTTTCTCATTTCTTATAAAAATGAGTGGAAAATGAAAAAAAATGAAAGTGCCAATATATAGTGCAAATATGAAAGTGCAAGCAGTAGGGTTCTCATAAATGTCATCTAGTTGTGACTATAAGATGGAAACCATAAGATGTGACAAAGGCAGTGATGTTTGCGCCTCAGCTGGAGGCTCACTGGACAAACA